GGGATTGTTTTTGCTCAGGGACCTGGTTCCACGTGGTGGGTAATGCAAAAAGATGGGGAGACACGTTGTGTACCACAAGGGGACCTAATTTTGAGTGAGAATGGTCTGTAATGTTTCATTGTATATATATAGATAGATAGATAGATAGATAGATGTATATAGTTTTAAAGGGATATAGTTTTTAAAGGGGGTTAATTTGGGCATGACATGGATGGCATAGAATAAGGGGTGGATAATGTCCTAGTTAGGACAGCTGAGATCAGTTCATCATGGTGGGTGTAACCCAAAACTGTATTCTATAGCCTTCCATGTCATTTCCCAGAAACTAGACTATTGTTGTCAATAGACTATTCGCACCCTCTACCCATAGAGCCTGACTCCTCAGGCTATAAACTAGGTGTTAAGAGGCCTGTGAGATAGGAAGATGTTTCTGTCCTCACACCCTTTGTGAAACTCCCCGCCCTGAGGGGAGTACCAAGCATTCCTGCCTGAACTGGAGGATATATAATCTTGGAGTTTTGGAACATTTTTCAACCCACTCGTGGGATCCAGAGGACGGCTGCATCTCATCGCTCTCAACCAGACTTAGACCACCACTGGACTGCGATCACCAGTTCTGGCCAGACTGCAGCAGCTCTCCCACCAGCAGGTTCTTCCCCTCTCCCTTTACTTTGGACTCAAACAGGGCCCAAGGAACACCACTTTGTTCAGGCCCCAGGGTACTGGGTTACACATTTGGGTTTTTGTGGGTTGAGACCAATTGTTTGTTTGTATTATTGTACTTACTGTATTATTTTAATAAATTGTTATTCTGACTTATAATCTCTCCTTTGAGTTGGGTTCATTCCCCCTGCTGGTTAACTTTTAAACCAGCACACATTGTTTGTCAGGGAATTATGTAGAAGTGTAGGATTGTCACCAAGTTCAATTTAAGGAGTACAGCATGTGTGGTACTTTATTCCATAGTGTCATTGTCCTCTAAGTGCTTGAAAGGGCTATGTATGAACTGCTCGAAGAGGCTGTCAGAGGAAAAACTTATTGGTTGTTTCTCTGGCTTCTGCGTCTTCCTAGGTCTGCTTCTTCAGGAAAAAGTAGAAATATTTAATTAGAGATACTTTAAAAAAAAAAAAGGGAAAATTGTCGGAAATGATCGAGAGGGTTTACTTTGTATTGGAGGGAAAGTATGATTTTTGAACTTGCCATTTGTGTAGCTGACAGAGGTTTTGTGGCTTTAGAGTCTGGTTTCTGCTGCTGAAGCAAGGATTATGTTAGGTTCTCTGGCTTTGTACTGAAGGTCTTGGGTAAACAATAGATGAGAAAGGAGAAGTATCTATCTTTTCTTTCTGGCAGAAAGGCCTGTAAACATAGGAGATAAATATCCTGTAGGAAGACATCATTGTAGTCCCTGGGCTAGTGATCCAGTGCTGTTTGTAGCTCCAATTTGTAGCTACCGGTGAGGTGGCTCTGTGATTGTGAACTCTTTCCCCCTATCTATGTTGTTTGGGCCTTTCCTGGGAAGATTCATCTCTTAACTCAATATTTCATGCTTAGATTTGCATTGATTACCTTATAAATTTAAAAGCATTCAATTTAGAGACAAATCTGTACAATCATGCAGTTTTAATGTTTAATAACTTCTGCTCAGGATGAACTTCCAGGTCAACTTCCTTGTAAATTTTATTGCTTGATATTGTGGCTGATATGTGTGTCTGTAATGATGGAGTTTTTGTAAACAGTAGAAATAGTCTGTTGAGAATTTCAGTATTATGAAGTGCAACAATCAAATTAACAGTTTTAATCAGGTACAAACACTTTACTATCCATCGTGGAAATGACCAGAGGCAAGAAAGAGTCATGGTTAAAGTGGATCATAATTTGTAATAATTCTTTTGGTGCCGGATGTTAAGTTTTTGTCTTCAGGATTTCCCACCATCCTACTTGATTTGGGATTGTTTCATTGAGGCATCCACCGTCTACTTTGAACTTAATTTATCTTCTATGGTCCTTATGGTATTTAGGGCATTTGAAGAATAGCAATTATCTTGAATTTCACATATATGGTGTAAATCTTGATAGATGTTAGATGGAAACTGGCTTAAAAATCACGTCACGGATTGTTAAACTACTAAAGATAAAAGGTGCAGTGTTGATGCAATTGTGGTGGTGCAGTTTATTTTATTCAAACAACTAGAATAAACTATTATGATATGATTTTTATTGTGGGATAGAGTTGTCTAGCTTCCACTGTGCTGGGATAGTTAAAGACAAGGCTTTGAGAAGTTAAGAGCGCTATCTGACAAACAAATTTTCCCCAATCACTTAGTGGTTCCCATGGTACCTCTCATAACATTCCTGGGACAAATGTGCAATGTGTCAAGCAGAGGTTGAGCACATACAGCCAGGTCGTGCTGATGTAACAGAACTGGCTCTCTTGTTACCTTATTTTCTATCGTGGTTGCACATAATTTTAATTTCTTTCAGATCACTAGAATAATAAGATGATAAAATAATTATGATTCCTCTTATAAGTTTGAAAAAAGAATGTGTGTGTAGAAGAAAATACTTCTTTTGGTTTTACTTCAAATGTTTTAAGAACAACAAAACAGATTTATGGGACGGTTTTTCATTTGGGCAAAATTTATCGAATTGAGATAGATCAGGTTGCTACTGAAATGGACTGGTGATTCATGGCAGGAGAGAGATTCCCTGATACTCTGGTATCTAACTAAAAGTGGCTAATGCAGGAATTCCTTTGATATTCTAGGGAAGGTAGTGATTTAGTTATTTTTGTCTGAATTCCTGTTACTGGCTTTTAACCTTAGATCTTTAGTCTGTTTTCACCACTGTTAGAAGTATTCAGATGCTGTCTGCTGGTTTTTGAAATCTCTAGGTAAATTTTACTTATTTTTATTTATTTATTTTTTTAATCATCAACTAACTACTCTGTATTAGCTGTGTCTCACTGCGAGACCTTTGTAACTTGGAGTATAGTTAAGTTTGTAGTGAGGAAAAACAAGTAGGCTTGACTCCTGTGTTAGTCTGGGTATCAGCTTGGTGCCAGCGGCAAAAAAAGCTGTCCTCCCTGTGTCGGTTCCTTAAATTAGGCTTTTTGGATTTTATCCTCAGCATGTCACTGTTATTGCTTTGTTGCTATGATACAATACTTACTCATGCAATCCGCTCTAGAATATTAGAAGATCTGAACTGAAATGTTATGTAACTTACAAATGTTTTTACAGCTGATGTTCATTATTTTGCAGAGTGTAACAATTCGTGTCTTTGTAGTTATCTGAGCAAAACAAGCATCTTGCAAGGTTTTTTATTCAAAAGAAAAGCGGTTAAAATTGCAGAATTGACATTCAAGAGTGAATTGTTCTTCATGAGGGAGTAGTAATTGCTGGCTTTTTCAAAAGCTCACTGAAGTTGTTATGCTCAGCTAATAGGATCGTAACTGTCAGGTGGGGAAAGGGAATACAATACAGTATTCTGGAGTCGGAATTTTCAGGGCAGAGCGAGCAGTTTGAATTACAGTGGAGGCGTGTCAGTCCATTGTAGCAATTACTTTTTGCTTATGGAAACGAAAGAATTCTATCAGATAATTACTCAGTACTAAACCCAAGTTTTTACTCTTGTTGTTCCAGCCACTAAATGAAAGGTGTTCTGGTAAGAAACTTGAGAAACTGGCATTACCAAAGAGTACCTGAATTGGTAAAGGTGCAATCTTCAAATAGAGTTTGTTCAATTAGAATCATTCTGAAACAAAGAGAAGTGTGAGAGATTTTTTTGTGATTTGTTCAGGTTTTAAAGTGAGACTTAAGATTTTCCATACTCAGTGTTCCAATGCAGTTGCCTTTTTCTTGTCTTGATAATTTCTTCGTGATGGAACATCAGTGCTATTAGCATCACTCACTCACTGCAGTATTGCTAAGGGATGTAGTCTGGCTATAGACCTATCTTGAAAATTCTTCAGGGGGGAGAGCATTCTTTATTTGGAGATAAAATTGGAAATACAGGTTTTTTTCACAGAATAAGTGAAGTCCCAACTGGCTGATAGATGAGGTCATGCTACATTGCCGAAGTGGCTTTGAACCCCCAGCAAATAATTAAAACAAGAACAAAAGGCCCATTAAACCAAATTTTCAGTTAAAACCACGACTGCTTTTGTTGTGTTCATGCAACTTTGGAACAGTTACAACATATTAAGGATGTATGTATTAAATTTTTAAAGTGTGTAGTGCTTCATAATCCATCTTTTTTGGAGTTAATGTGAAATGCTAATGGAGAAATTTTACTTATATCAGGTTAGAGGGGTAGTGCACTCTAAAATGAAAATGTCCAGTCATAGCCAAACACATTGTCTTAATAGGCCAAAAAATCTGGAAAACCCTTACATGACTAAGATTGTAATAAATTATTTAGACCAAAGCATTAACATTCAGGGTTAATCCTTTAGAAATATTGGAGTTGATTCTTAAGAGAAACATTCATCACATGATGTCAAAAGTATGTGAAGCATTTTGCATTGGGGTAAAAAGACAAGGTTCCTTCAAAGCAGATTTTACAGCTTTTAAGCAGGTTACATAATAGAGGATTAGGGAACAGAATGAGACAAATCGGATGAATGAAAGGTTAGTATGATGCACTGCTTCTGTGTATGACTTTTGGTGGGGGAGAGCTGGGACTTATCAATGTCAATGCATTTCAAATGAAGTTAATTCAGGCGCTGATTTTCTGTAAATATATTTACTGCCCTATGTTTGTCTGTTATTTCTTGCATGTACCAAAAGTCGTGAATGGTGGGTCTTCCATTCTAACATACTCAAACACACATTTTCAGTTTTGACAACACTGCTTATTGATTTGCTGGCTATAGAGCATACTATTCCCCATACTAAAAAAACCCCAGTTGTAGCTATGCAAATTTTTGTCAGCAACATAGATTTAGAAATCCTGTTTTTGCTTCTGCAGACTTAAGGGTTGTTTGTTTTTGTTTTTTATAGATGCCACCTTCAATGAGCAGCAAGATCTTTTTTGTCAGAAGCTGCAACAGTGTTGTGTCCTCTTTGACTTCATGGACTCTGTTTCAGACCTGAAAAGCAAAGAAATTAAGAGAGCAACACTGAATGAACTGGTTGAATATGTTTCAACAAATCGTGGAGTGATTGTTGAATCAGCTTATGCTGACATTGTGAAAATGGTAAGTAGAATGCTCACATTATAGTTTGAATTTTAATAAAATATCTTAATCAGTTTGTGATTCTTGTGGCATTTAACTCAGAATTGCTGCTGGTTATTCTGCTTATACAGTATAATGTAATTTGTTAATGATAATTTGGCTTAGAAAGTCTTGTAAAAACAAACAACTTGTAAGTTTTAATTATTAGCTGAAACGTGATTCATTCAGGTTAATTAAAATGAAAAAACTGGTACATTGCAGATGCTTGGAGTCTGGGTAAGCTTTAAAGTTGTTCTCAATCAGAAAATGGCAATATATTGATGCTTGCCATTCTTTGTTTATTTACAAGTGGCAGTGGAGTGTTAGGCTGAAGTTTTCTGGTAAAGATTCATGCAGGTACTAGTGACAGCAGAAAGGCTTATCCGTGTAAGAAAGCAGCTCTACTTTGTAAATACTTTATATGACTGTTTTGTTTTACTATTTTGGCCTTGGAGAGCTGTGCTGGAGTAGCCTAAATGGCTTGCTGAAGTTGTAAATCATAGGATGACGTGTACCATGCAATTTCTACAAATGGTTTGTTGAATAAGCAACAAAATATTTATGATTGTTATCTGCTGACTTTTCCAGGTGTTTATATACATTTTCAAATAATACTTAAGTGAAGTTTTAGGTAGGCCTGTACTCTGTGTACAGGGAACACAACTGAAGGACACTGGAAAATAATCTGAAATATTTTGTATTTGTTTTTTTCCTAGAAATTTGAAAAGTAAAAAGAATGGCTTTAGTGTCCATGCATTTAGGTAAATGGTTTTCTAAACTTTGGTTAAGTTTACATAGATAAAATGCTGGCTTTAAAAGAGCTCTCAGGAACATAAGCAAACCAGTTAAAATATACAGCCTACAGCTTTTGTAGTTCTTCATACAGTACAAGCTATTTTTTTCTTAAGGTTTATTTTGTTTGTTGTTTGTTTTCTTTGGGTTTTTTTTTTTTTGCAGGCAGCTGATAGGGAAGATCAGATCTTTAATATAAATAAGCATAGAAGTTTTGCCATTACACTGAAAGGCTAGGATTACTGAAACCCTTTCAATCATTTTGGCTGTTTCAGCAGTTGCTTATTAAGTTTTACAAAAGATCTAGGACACTGGGGGGAGGTTTTATGGTTTCATTTTTTTAAACGACCTGAGTTTCTGTCCTAAATGTTTTTTACATAAGAAAATAACAGGACAAAGTATGTTCACCTCTTCTTAAGCTTCTTTTTTTTTCTTTTTCTTGATGCTGGTGGCGGCAAGCCTGAATCCTTGCAGTATTTTCTTATTCTGTGTGCCCTCTATAGCCTCTTGTTAGAAGAAAGAATATACTAACTACTTGTTGAAGGGAGATTTTCTTTTGTATTGGAGTTGTTTTCTTTTCTTGGTGGTAAGGTGGTGTTGAGCTGTTCTTTTGAGGCTATTGTTGTTGTGCAAATGATTGGGCTCTGTGGATGCTTGTTTTTCCTTCCATAACAAATTTCCATTCCCTTTTCTCCCCTAAAATGACAGAAAATGAAGAAGGCCTTAAATGTTCAGTGAGAGCTTTTTGAGAGCTTGAGACAAAAGATCCCTCCAAGCCTGAATAGTATTTCTAATCTCCCTGGCAACTGGCAGCAGAAAAGGTCTTTGCTGTGAATTAGGACGAAGTACCAGCTTTCAGAAAAAACTCTGGATGGATCTCCCTCCAAATAACATGTGTGTCAGACTTGAGACCTTTCTTTGTAGCAAAACTTCTATGAGATTTAAAAGTTACTGTTTTGATTTTTGTTTGGGTTGGGGTTTTTTTTGAAGTTTTTAGACTGTTCAGTGTTACTGCATTAAAAGAAAAAAACATATGAGGTTTTTTGGCAGAGTTTGAAGGATAATGTTTTTTGGATGAAAAAGTAGAAATTGGCCTTAATGAAATCCAGCTATCATCTGACTGGTAGGAAAGGACTGACAGACAACAGAAATTCCCTGAAAAAAGCCAGAGTGGCATCAGTGGCAGAAGCAGAGCTGATTTCTTTCCAAAGCCCCTTGTCCTCCCCTAGGCCTGAGACACCTTTCCTCCAACTTGCAGAGGAAACAGCCTGGTTTCCTTGGAGTCACCTGAGTCTTGGGAAGGCGAAGTCAACAATCCCTTAAAGATAGCAAAAGGAAATGTTGTTCCTGACCAGTGCATAGGCAGGGTCTGTGCAGGTGAGGAGGTCTCCCTGCATTTCTTCTCTTCATATGGTCTCTCTGTTACTCCTCTATCTCCTTGTGCCTATCAAGCTCCCCTCATTCTCCAACAGCATATAAAAATCCAGTGTAGATAAGATTGTCCTAGCAGGTTAGAAGAGTTGTGAATTCAGAATTTGAAAGCAGTCAGGTATGCTTAATCTGCACGCTCAGAAATGTGAACTGAACCTAGTATCTCAATGTTGAGATGCTTGATAAGTGTACAGACAATTAGGGACTTTTTTTTATTTTGTTTTAATGAAGTATAATTGCTGTATCTCAATGCATTAACTGCCACATTTTCCAATACTGTTTTTGGAAAATTTAAACCCAGCATCAGCTTTCTAAATTATCTGGAAACTTATCCAGCTGTAAAAACCTTTTATGATTTGTATTTCTCAAATCAGTTTTGGGATAAGATGCCACTTATGAAAGACAGAGAAGGTTTTAAATAATGTAAGAGGATATAGAGAAGAATTTGCCAACAGAAGAACAATGGGAGTTTTAGCCCAAACCATGTTTTTGATCAATACTAATAGCAAGGCCTTAGAAATAGGCAAATGAGATAGGAAGCAAAAGTATTGCAAACATAAAGAAAACAACCCCTTTTTTTTCTTTTTTTTAGGGAGACAGGCTATTAAATAAAAAGGGTGTAAGGTTTATTCTAATATTTATTTGTTGTATTCTCAGGAGATCAGTGGAAGTACTGAATACTCTGAAAAATCATACAGTTACCTTTTTAAAGGTCTGGCTGAGAGGCTTGCTGTTTGTTTCTGGTACAGAAGTATATTTAATAGTTGGTACCTTTGTTTTGGACTTGAAATGTTTGTATTCACTACTCTGAGATTCTGTGCTGAAGTATTGATCAGTTCAGTTCAGCAAAATGCGTCTAGAAAGAGATGCATTTTCAGAAGATGTAACCAGAAGACTTGTAAGCAGAGGTAAAGCATCCTCTGTAGGGGACTGATTGATATGTTGCAGGGTTTTTTGTTGTCTGTCTAATAAGAGTAGACAAAGCAAATAACAGAACCAGAATTGTAATCTTGGGTTTTGGGCTTGATTAAAATTAACATTCTCTGATTCCTATTTCTCCCTCCTCTTCTCCCCCCCAGGCACATGCTCTTTTTGCTCTGGAATCCCAAGTCCCTTGTGTTTACAAAATTAAAGGACGACTGTACTTTTCTTGTGAGGGGTTTAGTTGGGGGGTTTTTGTTTGTTTGTTTTTCCTGTGCAGTAAGTTTGGAGACAGCTGTAGTGCCCATCCATACAGACATCACTGCTCTTCTACTGTAGAGCAGCAGCTCTGCAGCTTTGCTGTGTCCCAACAGGAGACAGCAACAGGATGTAGAATGAAGGGCATGGGAGAAAGGAAAAGTCAGTTTATGCAACAGCTTTTTATCTTGTTTAATGAGGCAGCTGATTCTTCTGTGTAGAGCCAGATGGGTGACTTCAGAATCTTTTTCTAAAGTCCTTTTTGCAAGATTCTTCAGACACCTTGGAGACTCCATGGAAGGTGTGCAGGAGCATTTGCTGCAAACTGTCAGACATTTTCTTTTGTGCTTAGTAGGCTTGGGTGATGAGCAGCTGTTTGAAACAGATTTGATCACAAAGACTAAAAGAGTTTGAAAGGTGATTGAAAAAGTTGGGCTAAACGTGTTCCTGAAAGAAGAGTAGAAAATGCAGAAACAAAATTAACTTCATGTTCTCTTTTGTTCACGTTAAAGGGTTTTAAATCCAGTGTGTTATATCTGATGGAAGAGATGACATTTTTCTTTTGACATCTGAATGGTCTTCTATCCAAACGTTTATAGTTTATATACTTCAAAAATCCCTGAAGAAACATTTTTAAGCTTGCCCCTTTGAAATTGATTTGATGTGACTGTATCTTACTAAAAGTAACTTGGTAGCTATTTTTTCTCTTCGTGAAATCAAAAAGTTACAACTGTTACATATTTCTAACTTTGAAAATTTCAAGATGTTTCAAGGTTTTGGAAAGGTGAAAGAGTGAAAAACGTAAACAGAAATACCTTGAAATGAAGTAAAGTGAAGAACCCTGAAATAAGATATATTTTTGGGATTGTCTGACTTACATATGGAGAGAGCTCTGTTTAAATCATAACTGGTTAGTCATACTGTATTTGTTGTCTTACATAAAACCTCAGCTCTTGGTGCCACATAGTTAAAAATTGTTTTTTATATAGGGAAACCAATTTTTTTTTTTAACTTCCGTAGTTTCAGGGAAAATTTTAAATATGACCATGTCTAATTACAAACTTGTAAAGCGGTTTGGACAAAAGTTACTCATTATTTTCATTGGCCTGTTTTCAGACTCTTGGCTATTTGTATTTTGAAGTTTAGGGGAAAAAAAAGAATCACAAATGTGGTTATTATGTTACTTTTTTTTTAGGTAGTTTTGTTTCTTGTCAATTTAGGATAAAAGCACTACCTTACTGAGTGTGATCTGTGGAAAAATAAGCAGTGATACAATTTATTTTTTTTTTTTTACTTGCAGATAAGTTCTAACATTTTCAGAACACTTCCACCTAGCGATAACCCAGATTTTGATCCAGAAGAAGATGAACCAACTCTTGAAGCCTCATGGCCCCACATACAGGTATGTGATTCCTTTATTTTCAAGCCTTTTTGTAAGGCAAGAAGTGTGAATACTTAAGTAGGTTTGTGCCCTTGGTAAGAACATCAAAATTACTTTTATAATACAATTGAGTTTTTATACTTTGGGGGGGGAAGTGGTGTTTTTTTTAGCATGTATAAATATGGCAGAATGTAACTTTCTTAAATTGCTTAAATACTCTTTTTTTAAGAGTGCACTGTAAAGTGTGGTGTATGTATTCAAATATAGATATTTTAGGTAATGTTCTTTACTTAAGAGGTTTTTCTGCGACTGAGCCACTTCTCAGTGTGGTTTCAATAAAATATAAGTTAAATGTGAACAGGTCAGTTTCTTGTGACAATGACAAAAAATGAAGTAAAACCCTTATTTGTCTTTTGAGTAAGAAACAGATATTCCCTCATTCTTCCCATCCTCTTCCCTCTCTCCATGAAAAAATTTCCCAATATCGGCGTTGTTTGGTAACAGTTGGTCAGATATTCTGTTGTTACACTTCTGTGCCAATCTCGTGATTTTTATGGCATTGCTGTATCAATTGTGTGACTGACTTGCAATGCTGCCGAATTTTACTTTATTTTCAGTTAACCATTAAAAGTTATAATCATTTAAGTTCATACCTTGGGTAGGTTGTTGCTGATTTTCTATGAGTAGTATCTGGTAAAAGTGAAGTAGCAACTCGTAGTAGTGGGTAGAAGATCATTAGCTACTGCACATCTGCATACCATTTTCTCTTCCCTCTTGAGAGTTAAAATGCTACTCTGCTCCTCTAATATTACAGTTCTACTGTACCAACAAATGCTCTTATTTAAGAACTGGACTTCAAATATTGTCTATAAGAAGTATGTCTTCAGCATAGTATTTGAGACTTAAACCACAGAGTTAAATTATCACAGGAAAAAACCTTTGCAGGTTAAAGTGTAATAATTATTTTCTTATATATGGCTAGACATAGGAGAAATGTCTATAACTGAACTAGATGAGAGGCTTGATTTTTGTAGAGTGAGAGGGTGCAAGGGCTATGCAAGTGTCTCTTAAAGTCAGTAGTGGCACCATCTGACTTCTAAATATCTCTGTCTCAGGAGTAAAATTTGTAAATGTTAGCTCAGTTCACTTCAGGACATAATTGAATTCTAGTTCTTTTTATAGAAAAGGACTTTTGATTTTTGTGATCAGTTCACTTGTGCTTTAGGCTTGTCTAAGAGAAAGTGAAAGAGGTTCATAGCCTGTGGTGTTATTTGAAATTTTATTTTCAGCATTTCCCATGCTTTTTCTAAGAGTATTGACCAGGCTGTCTGGTCATTAATTGTGGATTTCCCTCTCTTGCATCAGTTGTTCATGCTGCCCTTGGAACAGATTGCTTACTACAGCACAATGGCAACAGTTTTTGTTTTCCTCTCCTTCCTTTTACAGTTCATGTGCTACTGGGTGGTAGAAGACTGAGTTTGATAACTTACTATTTGCCCTCCAGGAGCACAAAGCTGGAAGTGTCAGATTTTGTGTGTGGAAGAAAGGGAGTGTGCACAACCATTCCCTTCCATCAAAAAGCATTATTATTTTCGGCATAGTCTAAAGGACTGTGGGGAGCAGGGATGGATGTTTTACTCACTTCTATTTGTGACTGCTTAGTTGCAAACAAATTCAGAATTCTATGTTGATCTGACAGTCAGGTGGCCAGTTTTCTGGGAGGGGAAGGAAAAAATCTGAATCTCTGCTCTTCTCTGCTTGAATCTGTTGGCATTTCTCTTTAAAATATCATAAGATAATGACTTAGTAAGTTACCAGAGTGTGTAGTCACAACAGAAGACTCTGGACCTTCAGTAAAATGAGTGCCACTTGAAAGACGTTGCTTTAAGGCAATGCTTAAGATGGTTTGTAACAGCCAAACTAGGTTGAACAAGTTGGCATTAAAGCCCCTGAATCTTCTGAAGCTCAGGGAGTTGCACAGTTGGTGGAATTGGTAGCTTAAAGCAATTATATTCTAGTGGTCCCTGCAAAAAAGACGATCAAATCACGGAATTATTAGGATTTGTATTTCATAGCTCTTTGACCCAAGCAGACCCCTTTGACAACAAAACCACTAAATCCAACAACTTTCCCCTGATTGAGTGTTTTCAACGGTAATGCTTCAGTTAAACTCAAAGTTGAGCATACCTGTCTCTTTTGGTAGGATCCGTTGTGCCAGAATCCATTTTGGTGCCCCTAGTTGATAGTTGTTATGCTTTTAAGTTTGCAAATGTTAGGATACAGGCAAAGTGAGAGGCTGGCTTGTCCAGAGATGGACACTTCAACTTGCTTCCTGGAATAGCTTGGATAAAGAAAGTTTCATATTTTTCCCAGGGCTCCCAAGGATTTCTAAAGTTATTTGATACACAGTTGATATCTTGAAGGTAATCTTGGACAGCTTGTAAAAAGATGTCACAGTATTATGTTTTAACTTAGTTCTTCTGCTTGATGTTTATTGCAGTCACTGTATCTGTTCATGGAAAGAAGCCACAATTGTCCTTTCTCCCTCTGTCCTTTAGGGAGAACAAAATATGCCAATTTAGTATTCACTTACGAAAGGTGCTCTATCCCATGGCAATTCTATTGGCCACTTCTCTATCCTTTTAGGTTTTAATAAATCTCCTCAATCATTTGAAGGGCTGTGGATCTCTGTATTGTCAGTATCTTCCTGGAATATCCTAGGATTTCATCAGTCACTTCCATGGTTTCATTGTGTAGTTGGATCTTAGTCATCCTATTGTTAACCCTTTCTTGGCTTAAGGGCTTGCAAATGCTTATCAGAGCTTTTTCATGGAACACTGTGACTTTGCAGTCCTTGAGTTTCATCCTGTGTTTATTCTTCCAGGCCTTCAGGGTCAACTTGTCCTTTCTCATTGGTAATATGACATACTTTTTTTTCCTATCTTTTTCCACTTGTGGTAGCTTCCAATATTGTCTAAGTGGTTATCACACAGTGACCACAACAAAGAACAGTCTCGACAGAAATATTTAATATAGCAATTTATTACAGAGATCTTTACTAAATTTAATTCCAAATTAATCCCCATGAAGCTGTGCTAATAACCTCCCTCTGGCCATATGTTTCCCATTTCTGTAGAAAGTAACTAATGAATTTATCTAGTTGCTAATTTGAAAAAGGTCAGTAGAATCATAGAATGCTTTGGATTGGAAGGGACTATTAAAGATCACCTTAGTCCAAGCCCCCTTCCAATGAGAAGGAACACCTTGCAGTAGATCAGGTTGCTCAAAGCTTGGTGTCATCTGCAGACTTGGTGGGGGTGCACTCATTTCCACTGCCTGTTTTGAGGAAGATATCAAACAGCCATAGTTGAGCTCTCTTTCTAAGAAGGAGGATGGAGCATGCTAATATTTAAAATTATATTATTGGATTGTCTGTTACCAAGCTTTTAAAAATTCTGTCTTATGTTGTCTGTTTGGCAACTGTGTGTTATTAAATTAAGGCTGTGCAGGGAAGCTTGGGCTTTAATACGATTTTAATACAATACAGTTACATGAAATTTGTATACACGAATCTGTTTATTCTAGAAAAGAGAAGACTGAGAGGGGATCTCAAAGGCAAGTGTCAAGAGGGTGATGCCAGATTCTTTTCAGTGGGGCCCAGTGACTGGACAGGGAGCAATGGCCATAAACTAAAACACATGAACTTCCACTTCAACATGAGGAAGAACTTCTGTACACTGAGGGTGGAAGAGCACTGGAACAGGCTGCCCAGGGAGGTCGTGGATTCTCCTCATCTGGAGACATTCAAAACCCACTTGGACATGTTCCTGTGTCACCTGCTTGAGGTGACCCTGCCTCAACAGGCTGGTTGGACTAGATGATCTCCAAAGGTCCCTTCCAACCCTAACAATTCTGTGATTTTATGTAAACTGTTGATAAGAAAAGCTCTTGTTACAGTCTGTCAGAGGAGGAGAAAGTGAAGGGTAACTTGTGTTTCTGAGCTTCTGCTTTGCAGATGCAGCAAACCCTCCTTGAGGCTATGTGTAAGTAACTGTCAGCTCAAATGTTCTAGATAAAAAGTACTTACTGTCACGCATTTCTCTCAAGTGAACTTGATAATTATAATTATGAATTACTCAGGTGCTGGCTCTCAGTTTAATTAGAGCTCTCAGAGGGGTAATAGTTGAAATACATGCCTGTGAGTAGGAGCACAACTCTGTGTGGGTTTTATTTAGAAGTCCAGTCAGTGATAGCATTATGTACCTAAATTGCATTTTGGTATTATTACTAATCAGTTGTTTAACGAACATGGAGTTATGAAATAAGCATTGAGAACATAAACAGCTCTGAATAGAATCTAAATTTATGAAATCTTCCCTCTCAATTCAGTCTTAGTTAAGAGATGCCTTATATGTATTTTATTAATGTTAACATTGTTACAGAAGGACAGTATTCTGTGTCTTGGCCTTTTGATGAACCTCAAAATACGAGACTTGTGTTCTGGCCTCTTCGTGCCTCCCTCTGCTACCCCAGGCCCTTGCTAGCTCTATCTCCTGACAAATTTCTGTGGGTGTTGTGGGATTGTAGCAAATGGGGACTTGAACTGACAGAAATAATATGCTACAAAATATAACAGATATTGAAGATAAATCTGCACAGGATCTTGTTATTAGAATTGAGTGTCCAGGATATAGAAGCCTAATATTAAGCCCAGCTCTTTCAGTTTCTGTGTATTCAGTCAGCTTTTTTATGTGGCTCTTCATTTTTGGAGTTTGCAGCTGAAATTTAATTTCAGGAACACTTAGCAGCCTTTTCTTCATCTGTTTAAGGAATTATGTGATGTTAGAGCACTTAATTTTACCCTCATTGCTGCCAAGTGTTTGGTAACTTATTTCTACATGACGAATTCTTAACGCGGCAGGAAATGTGAACGTATGTAACATTTAGAACTTGTTTTTTTGCCCAGTAGAGATATTTTCAGTAGGTTATTTATTAAGCTTTGACACTTCAGGGAATTAAAGTGTTCTTGATACTTACTGTAATTCTTTCAGTAAATTCCGGTAGAGGCTGTGATTAGGCAGTTGTGTTAGGCTTTGATTTCCTTTGGTAGTTTTTAAACATGTGAATAGTCCCACTGGCTTTGGTGGTGGTGACAGGGCTGAGATCTGTGTTAAGGTGTACTTACTAACTTAAAAATTTTCATTTCAATGTTTGTAGTTGGTGTATGAATTTTTCCTGAGGTTTTTGGAGAGCCCGGATTTTCAACCTAGCATTGCAAAGAGATATATCGACCAGAAATTTGTACAGCAGGTAAGTGGGGAGTTTTTCCACCCCTAGATTTAAAAATCAGCTCTCAAGCATAATTTACCAGATGGGCTGTTTAAAATTTTCATGTTGACACAGGGTAAATTTCAGTTGTTTCAGCAGTGGTTTCTGCCAAACAGTAAATAAACAGCACACCGTACCACAGAGGCTATATGTAATTAGTAGCTTCAGGAACAGTTCATTTTGAGGTATCAACCTCAGTGCTTTGCAGTGCAAGATATTTGTAACTTCTGAATGCAAGTTGTGTTTTTAATGATTTTTAACTTAATTTCAGTCAATTCAACAGTGGGCTAATTACATTTTTGTAATGCTTTTGTTTGTTTCTTTTAATAGATTTATCACAGGAAAACTTGCAGTAAACTATTTTCCTGTAAAAAATTTGTGTGCTTACCGTACATGAAATGTGTTCCAACATCTGTTAACTTGTGTCTAAATAGTGTCAGTCTCTTTACTGTCATGTACTAACCACAGAAGAAGAATCAAATAAGAAGGTACAGGAAAGTACAGTATAGGAAGATCATGCTTCACCATGCAAAATAACAATGTATGAGCAAGAAAATGAAGTGAGATTTCATATTAGATATAGCTGTTCAAGGAATTATGCTGTAGAATACCATAGCAATTTTTGTTCAAGGTGAACTCAGAGGGGATTTTTTTTTTTCCACCATGTCAAAATATTTGTTTGCTCAGTATCTGAAGAGTGAGTGCTGGCAGGCCATCACAGTACAGCAGTGAAAAGTGAAAACATAGATGGACTCTTTCCCTCCCCACCTTCAGTGACTGCATTTAATTCCCACTTATTTGGTTCTACTATTCTTGTTTATAGATGTTTCCTTCTTCTCGGTTTTGTTCAACTTTCCCATAAAATTTAGGCCTGAAGCTGCTGCTGAACTGTTGGCTGTGGCTATCCAGTTTACTAATTGACCCGTGGTCCTTAAGAGCCTTGTTGCAGAGTTTCAGTTTGACATTTCGCTTGATCTTTCTCTAGAGTGCAAGAAAGACAGTGCAGTGAACAGCTAGCTATATATGGGGAAAAAAGGTGGAGTAGTGACCTTGAGAAATTCCTTCTAAATATAAAATTGAAATGAGCCTGAACAAAGTTCCTGAACAGCTGTTTCCAGTCCCTTGTGCTGCTTGGTACAGATATACCCAACCAGAGGCATTGGCTGAGCAGGAGATGGTAGTGACTACTTGAGTTAAGTTACTAATTTGTTCAAGACAGCTAGCATTTCTGAATGTGCTGTTACTTGAACATGCAGGAAAAAAACCCCAAAATTAATGGTCTGTAATGCGATTGGAGTATTTTTTGATGTCTTCGAGTGAGCATGGTCTTTTCTGTGTCCTTGGGAAATTTTCTACAAAAAAAATGCATGCAAAGTCTCGTTAGCTTCTTGCAGCATTTAGTCAGTATTAGCAGAGAATCAGTTAATAATTACCTATCTTGTGTGTATTTTATGACCTCATTAATTGTAAAATCTTTTATATAGAATTGCTTTTGCTTAGCTATCAAGACATAAGTATCTTTTGGAGATAACTAGTAAAGGTTTTTAATTAAGAAATTGTAAATAAATGACACAGATTTGATTCATTCTGGTTTCTTAACAAGTATAAACCATTTACCTGTGGTTTGATCATCTCATTCTTGCAATTTTCTTTTTATTTTGATAGTATAACAGTTATTGGAATGGCTTTGGTGTCTTTGTATACAGGCTTTGGAAGGGAATGAAGCTGATGGGTTTATTAAAAAACCCACCTTTATTAAAAATGTAATTTTAAAAATATACTATTGACATCTAAACAAAATTTACAGTTAAGGTGATTCTATTTTTTCTAATGTAACCTTGTAAATTAAAGATAAAACTCAAATCAGGTAGGAACAAAACAAAATTCAAGTCTTTCAAAAGTAATACATTTAAATTTAATTTTTAAAGCTGTTGGAGCTCTTTGATAGTGAAGACCCACGAGAACGTGACTTCCTAAAGACAGTGCTTCATAGAATTTATGGAAAATTCCTTGGTTTAAGAGCATTCATCAGGAAACAGATAAACAACATTTTCCTCAGGTATGCTGTGTGTGTGTGTGTCTGTGTTGAGGAATATTTCATCTTGCCTTTATGGTCTGGGTCTGCAGTGATTTATTCTTGAAATAAAAGACCTGGTTTTGGTTTGTGATCTGGCTTTCAAATATTTCAAGCTTATTAAGGGTTATTTCTTTGGGATCTCTGATCCTCTGTTTCAACTTTTGATGGTTGTCTCTTTTTGGTACCAGGTTTATATATGAAACAGAGCACTTCAATGGTGTTGCTGAACTTCTTGAGATATTAGGAAGGTAAGTTTGATCTGACACAGAAGAAATGTAACATGTTATTGTGGGTGTTTGCTTCAGCTTTTCTGCTTTGGGAATGAAGGGGGAAGAGAGTTATTACAGCAACAAGTGATAAAGTGCAGTCACTGATAATCTAATACCGTCTGGGTTACCACATGAGTATTAAATTAGGATACAGAGTATAAATTATTCATTTTTCAGTGGAAGTTTTAAAGATGACTGGCAAAATGTTTCTCAAGGGTCCTTGTTTGTCAGACCTATCTACCCCTTGCTTATCTTACATCTGATAGATGAGTTGTTCTTTGATTCAGAAACTGAATGTTAACTTTCACCCTCATGCTGAATGAAATGCTTTAATCCTCAGCCGGCTGATTTTCTTTAGATTCTATTCAGGAAAGCCTTGCAAGTGCTAGGGGTTTTTTTTAGTTACCTTATTTTTACATTATTTCACTAATTTAATTTTTAACTTTGAAGTTTCTCTGTGGTAGTTTTTTACTGTTTCTCCAAAATTGTCACACACATTTCATGGTAGAAAATTTTATAAATATTTCTGGTCTAACGGAAAATACAAACATTGTGAAGCTATTTTGGAAAAAAATTTCATGAAAATCAAGCAAAAGGGATGCCATTATTTTCTCAGATTTGCTTAAAATGTAAGGGGGAAAAAGAAGCCAACCTTTTCCTGAAGGACTTCTGTCTGTTCTATATATAAGATGACTGAATCAATGACAAACTATTTAACTTTGTTTTTGAAGGGAAAGGTTGTTCGACAGTCTCAAAACAAATGTTCAAACTGCAGTATTAAAGTAGTTGAAAATTGTATGCCATGTATTTTTTTTTCTTTCCAAGTTGCTATTGATGGTGGGTGAAATGAATCAGCTTTCTGGTGCATGTAAGCTTTACAATTGGACAGCAAGACTTACTGTAGATGATTTTACTTAATGGAAGTCATGATAAAAATATTTCAGCTCATCTAATGAGTATTATTTGTCTTCTACTGTGGTTCTCTGTTATTCCTGCCAAGAGTCTAAAACTCTCATGATACCAAAACTTTAAAGGTTGTGCATATGTAGTGCTATTTCATGGCTTCAAAATAATCAGGTTTATAAACTGAATTGGAAAGGGAGTGTCTCTTGAACTTAAAGAAATTCTTGACTTGCTAGGAAAAAATATTTTTAATTAAAAATAAATCCTGCTTATTCATGTTTTCAGTATTATCAATGGTTTTGCACTGCCACTGAAAGCAGAACACAAACAGTTCCTTATGAAAGTTCTGATTCCCATGCATACTGCAAAGGGATTAGCTTTGTTTCATGCACAGGTAAGCTTTTGCCTATTTCTAAGCGTGGTGGGGATTTTTGTATTTACATTTGAAAATAATGAAACTTTAAAATAGTACATGTTATAATATCAATATTCCAAAATATTTGCAAATTCAGTCACATAGTCACACTTTTAAAAAAATCTTATAGATCTTGTATTTAAATGGTAATTTGGATGTAATATTTAGCATATATTACAAGTGAAAGAATGTAACAGTGAGTCGAAGTCGTGTCAACTGAAGTGGGAAGCTTTTTTGCTTGTAGTCTTGTCACAGTTTGTTTCATTTAATCAGAGGACCTCATGCTGTTGTCATTTCTTTTATGTAACCTAAATGCTGTTTCTAAAGGAACCTTGAGTATGGCCAGGTACTTATTTCGGAAGTGCTTTTTTATTTCTAAAGACATACCGGTGATGGAGTGGGGAGGAGAATGTTTGTTGCCATTTATAAATGGCAGAAATGCATAGTAGCTCTCTAGATCAGCTGGAAATTATGTAGATCCATGACACACTGTCAGAATGCTGCAGCTCTTCATCTGACTTTGATTCTTATACTTGCCACAGACATTCAGCGTTTTATTTGAGGGATAATCTGTATCCTTTCCAGACATATGACACTTGAATATTGAATATATTTGATGCAAACTTGCAAGTAATTCTGCTGTGGCTAATTAAAACTTGCCTTCTAACTTAGCTCACTAATAGAGCTCTTTATAGACTAAAGATACAAGGAAATGGGTTTTTAATTAAAGTGAAGTCACTATGACTGTATAGTCAACAAACAGGATCAAGTGAAGAGCTCTGTTAATTCCTAATTCTCATATGAAGTTTTAAATTAATTAAATCACTTGTCTTTGTGGTTTATTGCTATGCAATAGGCTGCTCCCTGGAATGAGTCAGTGATACAAAAGAGGCCAGTCACCTCCCAAAGGTGTTCTCAGTGACAGATCAGTACAGCAAGCTGTCCTTTTTTTTCTGGAATATGTTAAATCCAGTTCATGGGTTCCTGAAAGGGGCCCTATTAATTCAGCTGTACTATGTACCCAAAAGTAGTGTTTGGTCTGCTGACCAGACCACTCCTCTGTCCCTCCATAAAACACTTTGCACACGCACCCAGCACTGTGTGTTCCTGGTTTCCTGTTATCCCAAGGATGCAAGCCAGTGTGAAATCTGCTTGTCAATCCGAAGTGGCCTGGTTGCTTTGTGCAAATGTAGCCTACCCTTGAAAGTGAAAGCCTTAAAGCTGAATTAAGCTTGAGTCTTTGTGTCTTTGAACAATAAAGCAATACTGTACTATATATATATATAAAATGGGATTTTATGAGATTAATGTGTGGCATTTACTGTTTTTTAAATCTACACAAATATATCCATAGCCTAAGGGTAAGAGAAATAAATTAGACCTGTTGCAATTACAGCATTGTAATTATCTGCTTTGGCATAACAGATTAAAAAAAAAAAGAAGGAAAAAGTAATGCTTGAATTCAAGCATCCCGAGTAGTGAAATGTAACACATGTATACAATTTTGTCTTTGCTTTATATGGCTAAATGAAAAATACTGTGACTTCTTAAAATCAGTCTTAATGGAATCTAGGATTGTAACTGCCTCAGTGATAGGATTGTTGTATGGTTTCTGCATGGGATGGTCGTTTAGTTACTCAACTATGTGCTAATTAACTAAACTCTAAGCAAGTATATAACATGAAATATTGCACCTTGGCCTGAGAAGACCCTTGCACAGAAACCACTAGAGGCTGGGAGAGCAGTGCTGATGGCTTGATGACATTGTGCTTCCCCACTTCTTACACCCTTCCACAGGCACTTGTTGGCCATTGCTGCATTGGGACAGGACACTCAGCTGGTCAGCAGCTGCCTGATCTCTTGTGGCTGTGGAATGTGTTAAAATTCTTTCACCTGTAATCTTACCACTGAATGTTGTGTGCTGTAGATGTCTAGTATTTGAGCAGTGTGCAATGTGTGCTCAGTGAAACCTGTGTTAAAACTTGTTTTTTACTGAAAGTATGGCCTTTTTTACCCAAATATAGATGTTTGAAAATGATAGCTTTGTAATGTTGATAAAGGAATTGATGTAAAAAAAATCTACCTGGTTACTGGGTCTGAGTTAAGGAAATGCCTGTCAAGCTTAAAAGTAATTTTCTTTTAGGAAATTTTCTTTAGGCAAAAAAAGATGATTTTTAGTATGTGGGAAGTTTTTGTAAGATAGAGCAGGCTTGTATATCTTGCTGCTTTAATTGCTGTTTTGTTTAGTTTGGACTAATATGAAGTGGCTGCGTAGGGATGTTTTGGGTTGGGTTTGCCCGTGATCTGAAGCGCTTCCATTAGAAGTTGTGATAGTTATGCTGCAATGTCTAAACAGTGTCTGTTTAAACTAAATAATCATATGACTTACATTCTAGCTCGCCTATTGTGTTGTACAGTTCCTGGAAAAAGATACAACCTTAACAGAGCCTGTAAGTGTTTTTCAGTTGAATTTTTTTTCTATTTTTAATTTCAATTACATATTTCAGTGTAACTTGTTCGAATTGTATAGCAGTGCTGTCTGTGCTATCCTGATTAAAGATCCACAGGTGAGGTTTTCTGGGGGGGAAAGAATTAAATCTAGGACGGTTGTTAACAAAGTGCTGGGTCTGGAAGGGCAGTTCTCTTAACCTGTGGCCAGGATACTAGTGGCTCAAACTTTTATTTAATTCTGTGCTCTATCATGCAAATTACTATGCTTGTCACAACTGTATTCTCTCCTCATAAGAACTAAAATTTCAAGGGTTTTGGTATTAGTTGCTTGTGCTTAGCCACTGCATGAAGTAGTAATGTTTTAGGGAACAAACGATCCTAAAAGAAAAGTTGAAAAGAATAACAACACTTTATTTAGACAGAACTCTGAAATTCCAAAGGCACTGTTCCTGCTCTGTCTCTTCAGTTCCTGGGGTGCCTCTTGGCAGTCAGAATACAGGTGCTTCAGGCATCAGTGGCTTTTGCCAGACAGTCTCCCATAATACATATTGACAGCTCAGCTAAAAAGGGTTTTGCAGTGCTTCGTGCAAGGGCTTTGGCAGGGCCCATAAAAAAGAACAGAGGCCCAGGGCAGTGCAGCAGCTCGTGGGAACACAGAATGATGTCAGGCCAGCTTACAGCAGAAACTGGTTTTAGTTGGACAATCAAAAATATTTTCCCTAGGAGTATGCTGGTTTTAAGTACTTTATCTTTTTTTGTGACAGAAAAATGAAGAACTTATGCAAATTCTATTTCTTTTTCTATAAAGAATAAAAGATAAACAGCTTTAGGAAAGCACCATTGATCTTCACTGGTCTTTCAGTAGAAGCTTGTTTTCTGCACAGGCACTTCATTACTGATGTTCCCCATCAGCTGACAAGTTATTCTGTAGGTGGTGGAAGGTGTCTGGCAATTTGCTTTGTGTGCTTGAAAGCATCTTCTTCCCCCTGTGCTGCAGTGTTCCCAGCTACACTGGTCAATTAGCTTATTTTGTGGGATAGGGTGAAGAGAAAGGACTTGCATAACCCACATTCCTTAAGCCAAGCGATAAAACAACCCAGGCATTTTGACAGTTAAAGTTGATATGTGAGCAGAAAGTGTGTAGTATTACATAAAAACCTGCAAGAGTGAATGAAGTGACAACGTGACAAAGTCAGAACTTCCTGACATGAATTTACACAAGTGTGATGCAAGATCCAAACCCAGACTTTGAAGTGAAGAAGGTAGGGCTTTGAAGTAGGAGTGCCATCGTGCAATTCTGAGGTTTGTCTGGACTGTGGTATATACAATTCTGGTTGCTTCTTAATCAGTGAAGGAGAATTTAGAATGGAGAAGATATGAGAATTCACTGCAGAGTCACTGCCTGTGTTTGCTTTGGTCATTACTCTGAGCTCACAGTAAAACTTGCTTTGTAGAGAAGTTAAAGTTAATAAGATGATAAGAAGTGAAGCTTTAAGAAACTTTCTGAAATGCTTGAAAAGTAAATGTTAAAATTTGGGGCAACTGATGAGATAGCATTGGAAATTTTTCTTGGCTTTAGGTCAAGTAATATTTTAAGCACTCCATCAGAAGGCTGTCTTCACGCATACCTTACTGTTATTTTTCTGGCAGGAATTGTCACTCAGGGTCAATTTAGAGGACATTCAATCCGAGCTCTTGTAGCTATGGTAGTCTGCCTCAGGTCAGTGCTGATGTTTGCAGAGCTGACAAGAAGAGTTTGTTACCTAACCCTGCTAAGTGCAATGGCCTTTACATTGAAGAAATCAGACTAAACGTGCAGTCCTTGTAGGTGGGACAAGTTTTCTAGCAGGTGCCTTCTGTTGTAAGTCACTTTATGGGAATTTTGTAGCTCAAGGAAGAATATTAATCTTAAGCCTTTTGTAGTAAGAGCAACAGGATCTCAGATCTGCATTTATATTGACTATTTCTTTGAATAAAATCTATAAACATAGATGTGCATTTGTCAGCTTTTTGATATGAAAGCATAGTCAAGCTGGAAACTGATACTCTTGAGGTGTACGCTGTTAAACTCAAACTTGTTATTTCTTTATCAAATTGAGAATATGAGTCTCTGTAGCAAAGTATACTCAGACATTCTAGCAGTAACATGTGCTGGAAAGTGGACTTTTCTAGAAAACTCAGTTTTGTGTTCTTGAGACCAGTAAATTCGTGTTCCAGTTAGGGATGTATGGTAGGTTCTCACACTTTTTGTTGGCAAATGTGCTTGTCTGAAGTTTTTTGGCTTACTTGCCTTGCTCTGAGGGAAGGGAGGCTGTCAGCAGAATGAGCTATTATGCCTGGAAAAGTATGGGTTTGTTCTGTAGAATTATGAAATCTCAATAGTATATAAGTTATTCAGTTATAAGGTAATTAACAGAAAACAGACCTAGATTGAAAGAGGTTTTACATACACAAATTTAAATTACTAATCTAGCGAAACAAATGTAATTAATTCATGCAAGTCTGACTCCTTGGAGGAGAAGCAAGCGAGCGAAGGACTGCCTGATCTGGTAACTGCAGTGAAATGGGGGAACTCAAAACTTCTCCCCCCTCACTGTGCCACCTGCCCCAGCTCTTCTGCTCCATCCATGGAGCAGTGGGGAGGCCAGGTCAGTGCTGCCTCCAGGGAGGGAGCTCTGCCTCTGTGGGCCAGAGGCCAAAGGTGTCACCCGTGTGGGCTGACCCCGGCCTCCCGCTCCTTCATCAGTGTCAGATGCTGGTGTTAATATTTCAGTTGTCTGCATCTTCCAACCAACTGGGTGGAACTGGATGGTCAAGGCTTTGTGAAGAAACTGTTCTTTCCTTGTAACTTGCTCTGTTTTTGTGGGTTTGAGCATAGAACTTTACCAGCTGCCTGAGGCTTCTGCATTTGCTCAGTGTCATTTGAAGTGACAGTCAGTTGTGTAGTAGCGGGATGAGTGAGTATCCTAGGATAAAGACTTGTGGGCACTTAAAGTCATACTAACTTTTTCTTCTGGAAAGCCACTTTTGGTAGTACATGTAGTTGTGAGTAAAATGGCCAGCTGGAAAGCCAAAGGAATTCAACATGACAAAAAGCAAATATGGAAGGTGTTCAAAGAGTTGAATAAGTTTTCCCTTTGGATATGATCAATTAGGTGCTGTTGTATCATAAAAATAGAGGTCTTTTTCTAGGAATGAAAGTGTATGAAAGCTCCGAGAATGTTTTTGCTTGTGAAACATAGCTACAGCTTTTTTTTTTTTTTTCAAGCCAGCATTAATTTTGTAATTTAGATGCCACATGAGATGTTTTCTTTCTAGGAAAAATGCCTCCAGCCTTTCTTTGTTGTGTTCTCCCCATTCCTCTTGGGCGCTGTACTTTCCAATTAATTTTCCTGAAGATTTTTTTTTTTCTTTCCGGTCTTGCGTAAGATGGTATAGCTACTGGAATATATTTTCCCTGCAAGTTCACATCTTTCTTACTTTAGTTTCCAGTCTAACATTTCATATTCTAGAAGAGAAAAGGAAGAGTTGGAGGCCATGGCTCCTCTGTAGAACCTTGTTTGTGCAGGCAGCATATAGCGCTTCCTCTCAGGCTCCAAACCTTTGGTGCCAAGGCAGGTGTTCCACAAAGTATGGATGAGTAGAAGACAAAAAACGTTCTGTGAAATTTAGGTACAGGGGGGTTAACTTCATATTGTGATGCTTTGATGTGATCAGCATCCTATCAGTTAATGTATGTACTGGGATGGGAGTGGAGTGTGAACAGATAATCGTAGACATGTGAAGTGATGAGGGTCGAAGTTATTCTAATAACCTAAACAAGATTAAGTATTTAAATGAGTTTTTATTTTCAGTGGAACTGCATTTAGCTGTATTCAGTTTTCACTGAACCTCTGGATAAGGAAAAGCAAACTAGTACTTTTTTTTATCTTATCAAGTATGTAATAGAAACTTGTTCTGCTTTAACTTGTTTGTATTTTTCATATAGGTAATCAGAGGACTGCTCAAATTTTGGCCCAAAACATGCAGTCAGAAAGAGGTTGGTTTTGTCTCTCATTTCTGGTGTCTGCTGTGAAGTAAAATGGCATGGGGCAGGCTCACAAACCTTCCCTCTGCTGTGCTCAAGAGATTTTGCAGAAAACTTGGAGTTCTTGAAGCTTCTTGAGGCACTCAGCTTTGTCATGAGACTCAGTGTAATTGTTTTGTATTTCTCTGTTCTGACTATGTTAAAACCATATTCAAAGTTGCATTCTAATTAAGATATTGTATAAAGAAACAATTTTCTGAGGTGAGAAGTATTTTAGTAGATATAGACTAGGTTGAAGGTAGTCATCTGCAATGTGACACGTTTGAGATGCTGAGCAAGTGTCTGGTAAATAAACATACTTTCTTTTTTTGTAGTAGGCTAATAATTTTAAATGGTCTTGGGAAATTTTCTTTTCCTGGTTTCTCCTGTGTAGTTAAAAGGAGTTTAAAAACCAGGAGTTTAATTTATGCCACCAGATTCCATCCCTGACAGCTCTTTAAAAGTGGGATCCCTTAACACTGTTGTCCCTGGTTTTTTTGAGTGGTGTTAAATTTTTCTGTGCCACCCACCCAGGGTTCTGCTGGTTGCAGTTTTATGTGGGAATTAACTATTTATCACTTCAAAACTTACTTTGGAGATCTTGCATAATTGTAATCTCTGCAGCCATTCTTGAAATAAAGTGCAGAAGCAGTTTGAAGTATTCAGTGTGTTTACACAAAAGAAGCCCAAGAGGAGAGCTGTATCCTGGTAGCTGAAATGGATGATTGACTTCTTTTAGGCTGCAAAAACCCTGTGGATGTCTAATGTATTGTAATTATACACAGTGTTCTTTGCAGGATTCATGACTAATGTATAAGCTGTATTTTGTTTCTCTTTACAATGGCGATACAGAACATTCTCATCCCTTTTTTTATATAAACAGGTAATGTTTTTAGGTGAAATTGAAGAAATCTTAGATGTAATAGAACCGTCACAATTCAAAAAAATAGAAGAGCCTTTATTTAAGCAAATATCCAGGAGTGTGTCAAGTTCACATTTTCAGGTAAATAAAAAAAAAGTATAAAACCCCCCCAACCTTGCAATAACTTCTTTTATGGTTGTTGACCCCTAAACTTTGTGTTTCAGGTTGCAGAAAGAGCTTTGTACTTCTGGAATAATGAATATATTCTTAGCCTGATTGAAGAGAACATTGATAAAATTTTACCAATTATGTTTGGCAGTTTGTACAAGATCTCCAAAGAACACTGGAATCCGTATGTAGTGTTTACCTTTATCTATAAAAATAAACTGTCCACTGTTTCAGGTTTGGATTGTGAGCTTGACAGATGAATGCCACTGTCAGCTATATTGTGCTTTCACTGTTCTGCATTGTTACGATGGAGACCTGGAATTTATTTAAAAAGTATGAGGAAATTGGATGATGGTCTTTATATTGTAATCACACTTGATCTTATGTGTTAGTTCAAAATGCAGGTTAATGCTCCTTAGACCAAAACCATTTCCAAGGGTTGCTTCTGCTACATTTATGCTTTACTGTCCTTTACTACTTTAAGATGAATAAAATTCTGGGTCTTAATAAGTAGTTATTGCTGCCTAGTGAGATAAGAAGGGGAAAAGATATTCTCAGAGAAGAGTAATGCCTACTAGTATAATGGATGGTAGGACTGAGAAATGAGTGACTACTTCATATTATATTTAATGCCACAAGTTAAATATTAGTATCTTTATATCATACTTGAAAGATACTGAAATACTAAAAAGCAAAGTGTGCTGGTGCCAGCACCCTGAATTGAGTTGCAAGTCTGTGCAGAATGTGAAGCTTGTGCAGGCAAAAAGCCAGGGTGAGCAGGAGCCTCCCAAAGCCCTGGAGTAAATCAGATGTCCTGTTTTAAGCCCTTGGATGCTTTGAAATTATTCTGAATTTATCTAAATGGTGTGTCTAGTTGTAAATCTAGTAGCTAAGACTGAATATAAATTTTGGGGAACTAATTCTTTGAATATTAAGATACTTGGGACCTCAACAAATTTGGAGGATATTCCTCTTTCTCTATCTGTAGACAGAAGTTGATCTTTATGAAGGAAGTAAAGACACAGGATAATTGCATACCTTGAGGACAAGGAGGTTTGAGGAATAAAGTCTAAGCCTTTGGTTTTAGTCTGTTCTGGAGGGCAGCAAAATATGCTTATATCCATCTGGCTGTCTGATATGGACTTAACCACATACTCAAAATCAAGCTTTTCCTCTCAGAAAACCAAAACTCTGAATAAGCTTTTGACTTCAAACCACATGAAAGCGAGGGTACAAAAAAAGAGAAAAATTAAAAGTGTGCAAACAGGCAAAGCATACTGTGTGTTCTGAATGAGTGCAAGGCTCTGATGAACAGCTGGGAGATTTCCTAGTACCACAATGGACAGAGTGTACCAAAAAGGCAAACCTAGTCCTTTGGTTACTTCCTTAGGGTTTTTTTTTCTACTCATTTTTCAAGCTCACAGGGCTGCAGCCTTGCAGTCAGTGGGGAACTACTAGTGAGGGAAAAGAGGGGAAAGACAGTTTATCTACTTTTTGATTAGTGATAAGTAAGCTTAATGACAGGTACCTTTTTGTGTTTCATTTTGTTGCTATTTTTGTGTTTCTCTGTGTATCTAAGGGTGGTTTTAAAGGAGATAAACAACACAGTGTTTAAGATAGTTTATTGAAATACGAATGTTATCACAAAAAGAAGGGTGATACCTAATGTGGAAATAAGGTCAGCCAAGTAACACACAGCCAGTGTTGCTCACGCAGCTCTTGAGTTTCTTAAAGAAAATAAGGTACCCAAAACCATTATCTGATGTTCTCAATTCAGTTCTCTACTGGGGCATGTGCAGCAGCACTGCCTGCTGCCCAGAAATGCTGCTGGGAAAGCTTTGTGTGGTTGTGCTAAACCACACTCCTGTGGCTCCTCTGTTGCCTTCTTGAAGCTATTAGCCAGAAGTTTTATTTTTCTAGACTCTCATATTTCATTATTCAAATATTACAAAGTTGTTGTTAAAACTTGGTTTATTAAAGGTTAACATAATTGAATGGCTTTTAGAGTACAGCCACAGCATGAATAATTATATCTTGTGCATATTACAGAAGTCAGGAATTTAAGGTTAAATAGCTGTTTCAAAAAATGTTTAACTATACTATAATTTCCTCTGTAAATTAATGAAAAGGATTTTGTTTCAGAAACTCACTGACCTTACAGTAGTATTTTGAATAAGAAACTCAGAGTCCAAAAAAGAAATCAAACATTTGTTTAGTGAAGTTTAACTTTGTCATTGAGTAACTCTAATGGCTGTGCTGCTTCTGTTTTAGAACCATTGTGGCACTGGTGTACAATGTGCTGAAAACCCTGATGGAAATGAATGGCAAGCTTTTTGATGAACTCACAAGCTCATACAAAGCAGAAAGGCAAAGGTACTGGTTCTTTTTTCAAATGCCCATTGCAGATTGTATATCAGAGATGTAATTTCAGATGTTACTTTGCTGTTGTGCCTGTGGGGTTCTGTAGTGGAACTGCTCATGAGATGTTTGCTGCGGGATGTCCCTTGTGTGAAGCTCCCATATGCAGTGGTGTGGTGGGAGCTGAAGGCCCAGGAGGTGGCAAGAAGTCCCCAGCTCCCTGTCCTGCCTGTGCAGGGAGCACATGCTCTCCTGTGTGGTGAAACTGGGCTCAGCTGCTGCTGGCTCTGCTGCCTCAGGGGTGTCTGAAGACAGCTGAGCTGGAGAATGCTTCATAGCTCAGCAAAAACATCTCTTACCCTACTGACCTACTGAGCAGCACTGCTGGAGTAAGGGAGGCAGGGTGTAGGTTATCCTTGGCCAGCTGAGACCATGTGCCAAGTCTCCTTTCAGTAGCTGTGCTCTTCTCCCCTCATAATGCTTAGTCCCTTCTTATTTTGTTTGCATGTGATAAAGAAGCTTCTTAGAACTGCAGCTGTCTGTGCAAGGCCACACTACAGCAATTGTCTGCGTTGGCTGGAGCAAAGCTACAGTTTCACCACTCACCATTACTGATTTGTACACTCACTTTTTAATTGAGGAAACTGTAACTGCCTCTAAAAATAGCTTTGGAGAAAAACTTACAAGAGGAATTAGTAGATGTAAGTCACAGTTAAGTCACTGCATTTCCAGATTGCACTTAAAACACATCTGAAATCGATCCTTCACTCTTTTCTACAGAGAGAAAAAGAAGGAATTGGAACGTGAAGAGCTGTGGAGAAGGCTAGAGGAGTTAAAGCTTAAGAAGGCGATGGCAGAAAAGCAGACTCACAACGTGCTCAATGCACATAATACAAGTGCCAAATAAAAGAAATGACCACCTCTACTCGGCAGACATTCTTTTTTGTACCCTTTTGAAATATATAAGGATTTGCAAAAGAAACCTCATCAGTATAAAAGAAACAGCCACTTTTTTTCTCTGGCAAATGTAAGGATTCGAATTTAAATACAGCAGTTAAGTGATGTCATTATCACAGCATATTGTAAATTTGTCTAATTATTGATAGACTGTCACTTCCAACGTTTCATAGAACTGAATTATCATCCTTAATGAGTGAAATAATTATGGGAGTGGTGAGAATTATGACTTGAATTTTTGATTGTGTTGCACATAGGTGGTATAGTTTGCTATGTACACATTTTTCTTTGTTTTGTATGTGCTTTTCACATTGCTGCATACTTTGGTTAAGATGATAGAAAAGGCTTCTAGTTGTGCTGTATTTTCTCAAATAAAACCAAGGTACGTTACCAGTAACTTGAGATACTCAATATGTGCCCCTTACAGCATTGAAAGGAACTGGGATACAGTGCTGTCCTTGAATTCCTGATTGGAGTCAGATTTAGATTTATATAATGCTCACATAGAAGGAGGCAAGGTAGGGAGAGAGTCAGCTGCAACAGGTTGGGGTGGCCAGTGCCTCTACCCCATTCTTGCTGTGTCTTGGTCCTGGGCTAGTTAGGGATTTCCTCCTGCTACAGCTGAGGATGGAGCTTCCTCTAGAGAGCCCATCAATGATGCTCCTCATCAGCCCAAGGACCCTGCAGAATAGTGCAGGTCTCTCTCACAGACTATCTTGGATGTTTCTGTGTTAGTTTAGCATCTCATGGACTGAAGAAGAGACCAAAATTGGCATTATTTTTTTTTAATAGTAAAGAGGAAAGTGAATGTCAAGAAATAGTTCCTTGTTTTCTTTAAAGAAAATGCAGTCTGTTTCTTAAAGGTGGAAAGCTGACAGTAGAAGTCTTGTCTGTTTACTTGATCAAGTATTTTTCACATCTTTTATCAGAGTACCATTCCAATCTCTTAAATTGCAGTTGTGTGGAAAAATTTTGTAATGAAAGATCTTTGGGGAATTGAGCAGCGTTCAATAAAGTCTTTATGTTTGTATTTAGTGCGGTACCTCACATCTTTGTGTTTATGAAGACCAGGAGAATTAGTATGACTGTTATGAATAACCTTTTTTAAGTGCTCAAGTCTCTGACTAACCTGTGGCTTTTCACTGAGTGGCAAAAGTGTTGGAGGCACAGGCTGCTGGGGTTTGTTTTTTGGTGAGTAGGGTGGAAGGCTTGGCTCTGCTCCCTGGTGGTGAGAACAGCTGAGGCAGGTGTCCTGGGCTTCCCTTCCCTTCTGTGTGGCTGGTTTACTGACACTATTCAAGGAGTTTCTGGGGAGAGGGGGTGCTGGGAAAGTCTTTGCTACACTGTTTGAGTCGACTTCATTACACTTTTATTGTTGCTTTATTTTTGCTTCTTAAGTAATTGTTTCACAGAGGATACCGGACTAGCAGTACCTGAAGGGGTTTACACTTCCAACAGCTCTGTCAGATCAAAACTAATTAATTGCTACTTTCTAACTGTCAGTTTTATATAAAAGGGTAGACCCTGCCATGGTAGCTAGCTGCACTAAATTTGGGGGGAGGGGGAGGAGGAATCCTTTACCTTTTACAGTGCTTCTTCTTGAAGGGAGAGGACCATCACACAGGCACAGCTCACCTCAGTTTAGTGCTTTAGTGCCTTTTTGCACTTAGAAGAATAAACCCTTAAATTTGTGACACAAAATATTTTCAGCTGTCCTACAGCCTAAAGGAAGTTATATAAATATTGGGGAACTGAACACCTTGCAGTGATACAAGGACCAAATCACTGACATTTGCAATTGTTACAAGTTGTTCAAAAAGGTACTTAAGCTTGATCTCCGTATTTGTAACACAAAAACAACACAGTAGCTGTAAGAGGCCTTTCCAAATTGTGCAACCCTTGCAGTTAGAATCAGTCCTATAAATAGGTATGTAAAAGAATGGTTTCTTGGCTGGGATTGTTGGGCCTGCTCTTGTAACAACATTTCCTTATAAAACAAAACATCTTGATAGCTGAGCTGTAGTGACTGAAGTGGATTGCTGAGGGAATTTACTGATGGGGGGAAAAACGTACATACTGCAGAAAGGAGTGTATTCTTTATTTAATGATACCTCCTCCTCACCCTACAGCTGTGGCTAAGTTGTCTTCCACCTTACCTTCTCTGAGCTTGTGGGCAAGGAAAGAAGAAAAAATGCAGTAGGATCCAGCCAGGAGGAGCAGGATCCATCAGTACCTGATCTAATTATTGTTTCTAAATGTTTTTGTAAAATCCAAGAAAGAGCTGCTGTAATATTATTTGTTAAAGAAACACTTGAGTGTTTCTTTCACAGTGAGGAATCAAAAAAGCTCAGTTGTCTCTCTCTTACAGGGCTAAGGGGCTGTTCCCTGGGTATTTGGGAAAGCACAGGGCTATAAGCTGACTGGGGAAGCCAATGGAATGCTCTCCTACCAGCATAGGCTGTTATGTAGCAAAATCAGTGGGGTATTTCTTGATGTGGATGGTCTAAGTGTGTGGGGGGGTTATCCACACCCCTCACCTGGTTTCTGTCCTATTCCCCACCTTTCAACAGGGATGGAGTAGCTCAGTTGGCTTCAGCTGTGCAGTTAAAGCTCATTCCTTGCTGTGCACTTTGCTGACCTGTCTCACCTGAAGTCCTGAACAGGACCAGTTCAGGACCATCACTGCAAGGTACTGAATAAAGTGGTGAGCACCACCTTTCTCACATACAAACATTTTTCTCCCAGACAGCCAGTTCTGCTGTTTTGTTTATCTTACTACAGTGAGTTGTTGCTCCCTTGTTTAAGGCTGTGTTTGGTCAATGCAGTGCCTTGATTTGCTCGGGGAATCATCTGAAAGTAGTAAATTTTGTTCCAAAAGAACAAAGAAGCCAAAAAAGAAAGGAAAAAAGCTGAGGGGGTACTTTTGATATACTTACTTATTCCTCTATTAATACTGTTAGGAGAGGAAGGAAGAAGCAAAATATGATTTGGCATTCTTGCAACAAAGCCTTCAGAGCAAGCACACTGGTGCCCTGCTGCCCTGTAGACTCCACAAGTCCAAGTCTGGTATCTCAACTAACACAGGACTTATAAGGAAGAAAAAGACACCACCACCCCAGCACAGTTAGTTAGCAGTCATTCCCCTTATAAAAGAGAATCACATTTCAATGCCCTGCTGATGAAAGACTATTTTTCACTTCCTTAGCAAGACTGGTGGGGAAAGAGGGATAAGCAACAGCCTGAGAAAGACTTTGAAATGGACCATCAGCTAAGCCCCCCAGTTTATCACGTTGCTTGACTTTCCTTTGAGGTGGACTGATCAGGAATAGCTTTTTTGTTTTTTACCTTATTGTGCAGTAACACTTCTGCCTGGACTGCCTCCTGTTAAGCTCCAGCTGAATGTGAGAACAGGTATTTTCAAAGAAGGTACACAGTATCTTATTTGAAACATTTTTTTAATATTAAAGTCACTATACTTTAAATCAAAAATGACATGTAATAGAATTCCAGTGTGTTTTGTTTTAAGACATACTTTGGAGAAGGGAGGCCAGGCTGCTTTTAGAGTACTTTACCTTCTTCTAAGCACAGTCAGGGCAGTGACTGTGCTGTGGTAGCAGGTGCAGCTCACAGCTCATGCAGAAGTTAAATGGTCTGTTTGAGAAGTGCTCAAACTCTGTCCACTTTTTCACCATTTTCTACAGTGTTGAATTTCTGAACATTGGTGACTTCTCTTCTTTCCCCCTGGCTCCCCCATACATTGAGGTAAACTTGTTAAATTGGGAATAGAAAAGCATGAGTTTGTTAGACCTGTCCTAGAGTTAGCTCCTTTCTGAAGTTCGAAGGCCAGTTCACTCGGCTGTTCCTCCAGCCATCATCTTTCTGGTAGAAAACATACCTGGTTTTCAGCTTTAATTGTTGATTGAAGTTTATTCCAGTTATTTTCTATCCCTCCTGCTATGAACAGTTAAAAAGCAGCCTTAGTCTCAGCTTATATGGTTCATTACTTGACGACTCCTCTTCAGATGTCGTTTTCGGATTTTGATCATCCACTTAACACTTAACTTAGCAAAGTCTGCGGCCTTAAACAGAGCCAAAAAGATACCACAAAGAAGAGCAATCATGTTCCAGGGATTTGCTGTGATAATCTGAAAGAGATGAAAAATACTAGTCCCCTCATCCAATTCATCATACATTACACCTATTAAACAACAAACAGTTCCATTTTCCTAAACGAAGTGTTCTGCAGCATATTCCTTTATGCTGCAAAGATTGCCTGTAGTGCCTTCTCTCCATACTGTGGTTTTCTGATTCCTTCCAGGAGGAATAAAACACAGTATACTTGCTGCTAAATTCCTTTTACACTGTTTTAGGATATTGAATTGTTTTAAAACTTTAGGGGTACGGTTAAACTGCTAATTTTAAAATTATAGATTAAACTCTACTGTATCATTTAAATATTTATAAAAAGAAGCAGTCACATGGAAGAAGATCTTCCAGAAGACAAAGGTAGGAAAAGCAGCTGCCATTAGAATGCTAAACCAGCTTTTGATCTACAGCAAGTACTTTGTATTTTTTACTATGTTTGTTCAAGAACAGTTAAGTTTATTTATAGTTTGGAATTCTTGCACCTCTAGACACAAGAATGACTTCTAGGGTCCCTGATGAAGCAGGCAGAGCTAGGCTTAGGCAGCAATGAACAGGCAGGATACACTTCTGGGCCAGCCAGCAGTGTCAGTAGGTCATCCCCCTAAGCCAGGTCTTATACAGGCTTTCCATATTTGTTAATTTTCCTGAAAGCTGCCAGTGCTTGTGAACTATGGCCTCTTCAGCACCAGGAAATGAATACTCCCAACCCACTGGATCAAGGGCAGCTTTCAGTTGGAAGGTGGCAAAGGTGTGAACCCTACTTGGCAGGGAAGAATGAGAGGTCTGGGAATATGACCTGGCTCTCAAGGCCAAGGAGGTTCCAGGGTCCACTATGGACAGGACAGGAGGAGTGCAAAGGACCAGCTCCCAACTCCTGTCCCACACAGTCTGCATTCACACTGGTTTTGGGCAGGAACACAAGAACACTGTGCATTTTGCTGCTGGACCTCGGTTGTCAGGTAGGGTAATTTTAAATGCAAAATGTAGAACAGATTCACTGCACACTTTTGCCACTCTACGTTTTTCTGGGAAGGGCAAATGTATCTGCCCTTATCCCCTAGGACACTAGGAAAACAAACTCTGGATCAAATGCTTACAGCACATGTACCACCTGCAGCATTCATCTTTGAAGCGCTCCAGGGATTGATCATGGTGTAGGCACATCATGTCTGGCACATCCTACACCTCTGGCTCCAGCATATTTAGCTGATTTTTAGAGTACTTTTTGTACATTTAAATAACAGTACCAAATTTTATTCTAATAA